TTTTTTTTTTTTTTTTTTTTTTTTTTTTTTTTTTGAGACAGAGTCTCACTCTGTCGCCAGGCTGGTGTGCAGTGGCGTTTGAGATGGAGTTTCACTCTGTCACCAGGCTGGAATGCAGTGGCGAGATCTCAGCTCACCATAACCTCTGTCTCTCGGGTTTAAGGAATTCCCCTGCCTCAGCCTCCCAAGTAGCTGGGACTATAGGCACGTGCCACCATGCCCAGCTAATTTTTGTATTTTTAGTAGAGACGGTGTTTCACAATGTTGGCCAGGATGGTTTTAATCTCCTGACCTCATGATCCACCTGCCTCAACCTCCCAAAGTGCTGGGATTACAGGTGTGACCCCCCACGGCTGGCCCACAGGTTTTAATTTTTTAAACGAAATGGACCACAGTTTTCTGTGTGTGAGAGAAAGGAGAACTTGTTATATTTGCTACTTAGAATAAAAGATTTTTAACCAATCTTGTTTCCTTTTTCTAATTTTTTTTAGTTCATTAGTAATTTAGTAATTTGTATATTGGGGGGTTTTTTGCTGTTGTTTTGTTGTTGTTGTTGTTGTTGTTGTTTGTTTGTTTGTTTTGAGACAGAGTTTCGCTTTTGTTGCCCAGGCTGGAGTGCAATGGCGTGATCTCGGCTCACTGCAACCTCCACCTCACAGGTTCAAGTGATTCTCCTGCCTCAACCTCCTGAGTAGACGGGATTACAGGCATGTACCACCATGCCCAGCTAATTTTGTATTTTTAGTAGAGATGGGATTTCTCCATGTTGGTCAGGTGTATATTGGGTTTTTTTTAAGAATCAGTTCTTAGATTCATTTATCAATTCTAGTTTGTTGTTTTTAAGGACTCCTGAAACTTTTTCAAAACTGAACAATTTCAGCCATGTCTAAGCTTTCTGTCTTCTTGGAGGAACAAATCCAGTTTAGCTGAGCCACAACAGATTGTACATATCCTGCAGAACCTCTGTGGCCTTATGACAGTTGAAAGTCACCAACTGTCACAGAAAATGAGGGTCAGGAAAGGCTGTGATCACAGGCCCTTGATCCAGAGGCCACTTGGGTTCATCTATGGAACTCACACCTCACTGTATCATCATTTCTTGTAAAATCACCTTGATTTTGCAGGGAAATGGCCACAGATTTTTAGAATTATGCTGAATTATATAAGGGAGCAGCCATTTTAAAAATAATGTAATTAAACAACAACAGTAACATAATAGATATTTCTGCACCACATTGACACTGAACATGGCTCTCAACCAACTAGCCAAACCAAGGCAAAAGATTCTCTAAACTTTAGTTTTAACTTACCTTGTCCATTCTCCCTTTTCAGATCTTATTTCTTCTTCCAAGGCAACTATATCTGCTGTGAACTGCTGCGTATTAAACATTCAAAACATGTCAGTATCTAACCCAGTGATGACTACAGCATTATAAAATAACTCCTAAGTGAATAGTGTGTGCAGCAATTCTCACAGTGGGGAGAATTTTTTTTTCTCGCAATGTGTTAACCTGTCCTTTTTCTCCAACTATATTCTACTTAAACTGTTACAGTATTGTATGATCTCTTTAAGGGAGGTAACCCTTTAATGAAAAGCATTATAAATGTTAAAGATTAGACCCCTGAGGGCCAGCACTGAATGAAGCCTGATCATGGGTGCCAGTTCCCTGAGAAGCTTTTATAGATCGCAAATCCCATTGCTAAGCACTCTGCGGCTGGCTTGGGTTGGGTTCCAGCAATGTTGTTTTTCAAAATCTCTTTCGGATAATTTTGATGA